AATGCCCCAAAATGTGAACTCCAGACAATAATAACCTGAGGGTAAATCCACGTGCGTCTGCCTTTCCCCTCGTTCACCTTCGAAATCCTTGATTATTATATCATGCCAGAGTTCTGAAATTCAGTGACAATGTTGCTGAACAGTAGAATCTGATGGACGTTTTGTGCAGAACCTGTTTGACACTATGGGTTCCAGGACCACTAACACTCGGAGCTGAAAAAGTTTGGTCCTAACCGCACCCAACATCTACAAGTTTGTAAGCTTGTAGACATCATTAAGAAGTAATTAACAGTCCCATGCTGAGACCTTTCTCAAAATTCAGACCGGTGGCAGGCTGCCAACAAAGAGAAGAAAATATCGCAACCCCGACACGAGTGTGCTCAGTCAATCAATGAACTGACGACCGGCAGAAAACAACACCAGTTGAGTATGCCGATGCTGTATCTCAGCCGTGTTGGCCTGAAAATTTAAACATGCTAATTAAATCCAAAATCGTATAATTATTTTTAATAGAAACCGTATCTTAATTGTTCTTGCACTGCATCATATCGTGTATTTCATCTGTATATGTGTAATATGTATATGTATCAATGACAACACTTATACCGCATATTCTGCAACAGACTATAATTAATCACCTTATTATTGTCTCTCCATTTACCATGGCTGACTGCACTAATACCCTTTTAACAGTGGACACCGATATCAGTATACATGTAGGCTTTTTGTTCAAAAAGGAATATGCAGGAAGTTATATGTAACAATTAACTGTGTACTAATTACATGTTTGAATGTTATCAGTTTTACGTTCTGAGATACAATGATCTAAGCATCTTCTAAAATCTTCTAAAAATATAATAAAATACAAAACTCTCTGCCGTAATTTTTTGTGGAAATCATTCGATCAAGTAAAAAATGACTGCGTGACAAGACGAATCAACTATTTATACCCGATAAAAGAAACTGCCGTATTTTAGGAACAGTGCTATAACAAGACATTTGAAATTTCTAACAAGCAGATACATTAGAGACAGTGACTAGACTACAGGTACGTAATCCGTATCAATCAAAGGTGTAAAAAAACTGAAAATCATATCTGTCGGGGACCTACCAAATTACCAAGTTTTATCATTACTATATTTATTACAATGCAAATATTTTAGTGATACATTTTTTAGAGGAGAGGGCATACACACAAGTATATTGCTTCCGTGTGTGAATGCAGGTTGTACTTGGTATCTCAGTTCTCAGTTTCATACCGGTTGTATAACTGAATTTGTATATGGAACCATGCGTACAGCATGACAATTACTTGCTATTCGTCAGTTTACAACACACATAACACGGTCAAAAATTTTAGGCAACGCTTTTGCGAGTTATGTAGTACAGTAATGTTTTATTAAAATCTATTTCAATTTGTTTTCACCATTTTCCCTATTGACAGTCGTTGTTACGTGCGTCACTAGGTAATTAGTACGGATTGACCTTGTTTATTGTTTCTATACTTTGAGGATTTCTGTGACAACTGGCGGACGTAATTCAAACTCCTTCCGCACTGACACCGCATCAAATATATTTGTGTACCGATTACATAACTCTAATGGACAGGGTGGGGTGGTAGTTCACCGGACGACACTGTGTATATTGGGCGGCTCCTTTGATATCTCCTCCAAACATACGTTTATTGAATGACCCCATTAAACGATGATACACATCTCGATGAATATATCAAGGCACTAATTCATCTTTCATAAACTTTTTGTGTCTTGGTGCTTAATATATCCACATATCAACGAACATTTGTAAAACATGTATCCTAAAAAAAATAAACATTTTCAGGCTAGGTATTTGCCCACAGCAACACCTACATAACTGTTTATTCACGCGTGGTGTGGTAGATCGTAATTGACCGAGAGCAGGTATTGTAGAATCACCTGTAAATAAGGCCGACACTGTAATTAGATACAACGTACTAATGAGAATTATCATAAGAAGGCTGTTGTTTTTTCTGAACTGTTACCATTTTCATACCAAAAGTGACAATGCAGTTAAAAGTTGCTTTAGTGTCACAATATTCACTCACGTTTTCCTCAATCGCATTGAAACATAATTCCCACTGGTCAGTTCGAAACCGCATGTAATTAAATAATTATTTCGAGATTTCGTTAGAATGTAAGATATTCAGCCAAACGTTATGCAATAAAAGACGAATAGTTTTTTTCATTAAAATACGCGCACGCGTACCTGTATATTGCATACCTGGTGTCACGTAATTGCCCAGTGTGATGTATCAACGGGACATTAAATGGGAAATGAAATAGAAACTAACTAAAATTTAATGTTGTGGAAAATAACTCCAATGAATTGGAGTACACGCACATGAATTCGTATGATAAACTGTCAAAACGTTTTGAGAGGTAAGGCCGGGTTCATTAAAGATCGCTACAATATGTAAAACAGGTGAAATTTGTAGAACTAAAGGAAACATCCAACCAAATGCCCTTTTTAAATAGTAATGTAATGATATAATATAAAGTATATTTCACATGATACAATATACTTTGCAAACAGTTAGTTGATGCTTGAAAGGGACTGACGTAAACATGGGCGAAATATTTTAATAACGCCGTAAAATAGTTGAATTAAGTAAAAATTAGTTAAATTTTGTGTCATGATACTTGAATAAATACATTTAATGTATTTGCGAAACAAAAACATGAGTTTTGAGTAAAGGAACATATACTCGCCCATGGGCCAAACCCTTTTTCTCGCCCATGGGCGAAATATTTCAATATCGCTATAAAATCGTGGAATTAAGTTAAAATGAGTTAAATTTTGTGTCATGATACTTTAATGAATACATTAAATGTATTTGCGAAACAAAAACATGAGTTTTGAGTAAAGGAACATATACTCGCCCATGGGCCAAACCCTTTTTCTCGCCCATGGGCGAAATATTTCAATATCGCTATAAAATCGTTGAATTAAGTTAAAATGAGTTAAATTTTGTGTCATGATACTTGAATGAATACATTAAATGTATTTGCGAAACAAAAACATGAGTTTTAAGTAAAGGAACATATTCTCGCCCATGGGCCAAACCTTTTTCTCGCCCATGGGCGAAATATTTCAATATCGCTATAAAATCGTTGAATTAAGTTAAAATGAGTTAAATTTTGTGTCATGATACTTGAATGAATACATTAAATGTATTTGCGAAACAAAATCATGAGTTTTAAGTAAAGGAACATATTCTCGCCCATGGGCCAAACCTTTTTATCGCCCATGGGCGAAATATTTCAATATCGCTATAAAATCGTTGAATTAAGTTTAAATGAGTTAAATTTTGTGTTATGATACTTCAATAAAATTAATACATTTAATGTATTTGCGAAACAAAATCATGAGTTTTAAGTAAAGGAACATATTCTCGCCCATGGGCCAAACCTTTTTCTCGCCCATGGGCGAAATATTTCAATATCGTTATAAAATCGTTGAATTAAGTTAAAATGAATTAAATTTTGTGTCATGATACTTCAATAAATACATTAAATGTATTTGCGAAACAAAAACATGAGTTTTAAGTAAAGGAACATATTCTCGCCCATGGGCCTGCCCATGGGCCTACCCATGGGCCAGACTTCGCCCATGGGCAGGCCCATGGGCCACACTTCGCCCATGGGCAGGCCCATGGGCGACATAGTCTAAATATTGAGTTTTTAAACAATTTTTTTTTCATTTTTTCTTCCTTGGTATGTTCCCATGAAAACGGCATGTTTAATTTTGTAAATACCTTTAACCGAGACTGGGCAAAGACCGTAGAGTTTCTGGACTTTTGGGTTTCCAGAATTAAAATGGGACGTGTTCTCATGTATTCAGATGAAACTTGTATTGCTGATTGGTAAGTACATGTACACGTTTCGTCATTTACTGAACAAGATCGGTTATACAGGGAAACTAATACCCCTGACGCATGCCTCATTTAGGTTAATAAAATATTCACGTGGGTTATATTGATGAACGTTCGCATGACCAATTTACAATTTCATCATATCTATTTTTAGCAAAAATCTGTCTAGACATGACTGGAGATTTCTTTTCCGAAACGCATAGCATTCACTGTTATCAAGTGCAGGATGTTTGGAGGGAACGCTACCCTCTAACCTTTCTATTGTAAATTGACAAGCGGTTTTTGGTGCACTAATTTTATGACCCTCCCCTAGAAGATTTACAACTAACGTCATTGAATATAGTTACGAGAGTATTCCAATAACGTGAGAGTATCTGGGGTCCAAATTTTATTTTCGAAACGTGGAGATGGTGGTGGGTGGAGTCAATTCAGTTATCGAAGCAATTATTGTCGCGATCCAGCTATTATTGCATTGTGTTGTATAAATGGCAGTGAGATGTATTAATCAATCAATGAAATAGATCCCCTATTGATGCCGAGTGACGATAAACTCGTGGGTTGTGAGAGGGCGATATCAACATCGTCACTTTCGAAATATATTAATAATTCATGATCATGATTTGTAGAGTGGCAATGCTACTCGTGAAAATATGAAATCTGACCACATCACTCGATGATATGTACATGATAACCACCTTCAGATATCATCTATATATCAAACATGTTGGTAAATATTGAATGGTATTGTTGTTCCTTTCCGAAAGTCGCTCATGAAAGTGTCAAATATTACCACGCCGCTCAAACAGGTGGACAGCGCATTGGTCAACGTCCATGAAATATCCTCCATATATTATATAATTTATTAGTGTTACTGTATCATGGAATGGAGGTTTTAATATCTGTGGCATGTCAGTTCTTACCACGCCAAACAGCATATTTGTCAACGGATTTCAAATATTTTTTTTAATTATTTTTAAATTATTTTGTTTTATTTATTACGTCATGATTACACGTTTTCACAACCCTACACAATGCCACGTGGAAAGAGAGTGGTGAATATCATACCTAGGAATTATGGTTTCTGTTCAAGATGTCACCCTCCCACCTTGTCCCCCGGGACACTCACACAGCCACTGCCTCACCCCCGGGCTCTGTGAAGGGCACTGTAGAGGTTCTAGTGTGGACGGATTTCTCCATGTACCAGTCGTTCCTCAAACAAGTCGGTAGTCAAGGCAACGTAGACATGGAGATCACGTGGTACGTCGCCGTGGTCGTCAACGCAGTAAGACCTTTCCTGATTCTCTGATCGCATTACTCGATAATGAAAATGGGGAACGATATCGCATTAATCGATAATAAAAATGGAGAACGATATCGCATCATTTAGAAATAAACAACGAGTGGGAGTTGTTTATTGTACAATAAAACACTGCAATAAGAATAAACCATATTCTCCCTGCAGTGTTTTATTGTACGATAAACAACGATCACGAGTAGTTTATTTCTAGTATGAGATGTCAACATTATGTACAGCCTGTTTAAGTATGATGATAAAATCTACAAGCTTTAAAACTATTTACCCGTATTTAAATAATGACGACTCCCTCAATAGAATCCGACCTCCAAAATGTCGGACAAGTCCATTTTATGAACAGATGGGTGTTTCCCGCATATTCTCACAATCCTCACATCGATTACCTGTACCTTTTCTCCCAATACCGATTGTCATATCTCTCCTGCTTTGGGATGGGATCGTTCGGCCATCGCGTTTGTCTGCGTTGCCCATCTACATCTCTGGGGAACAACTAACTGGACAAACCCCTCTCAAAAATAACGTAGTCATATAAACGACGTCATTATTTTGCGAGCGCATGTTTGATTCTCGAGAAATGTCATCATGATAGAACAATGTTTTATCGGGAACTAAACCACGCTTCGATCTTCATTGTTCTTTGCGATTTATCGCGTAGCTATCTTATATTCGATAATAAAATGGGGAACGTCCATGAAAGACCTTTATAATCATCGTAGATAATAAAATGGGGAACGTCCATGAGAAACCTTTATAATCATCGTAGATAATAAAATGGGGAACGTCCATGAAAGACCTTTATAATCATCGTAGATAATAAAATGGGGAACGTCCATGAAAGACCTTTATAATCATCTTCGATAATAAAATGGGGAACGTCCATGAAAGACCTTTATAATCATCGTAGATAATAAAATGGGGAACGTCCATGAAAGACCTTTATAATCGTCTTAGATAATAAAATGGGGAACGTCCATGAAAGACCTTTATAATCATCGTAGATAATAAAATGGGGAACGTCCATGAAAGACCTTTATAATCATCTTAGATAATAAAATGGGGAACGTCCATGAAAGACCTTTATAATCATCATAGATAATGTTAAATGGGGAACGTTCATAAAAGACCTTTATAATCATCGTAGATAATAAAATGGGGAACGTCCATGAAAGACCTTTATAATCATCTTAGATAATAAAATGGGGAACGTCCATGAAAGACCTTTATAAGCATCATAGATAATGTTAAATGGGGAACGTTCATAAAAGGCCTTTATAATCATCATAGATAATATTATATGGGGGACGTTCATAAAAGACCTTTATAATCATCTTAGATAATAAAATGGGGAAAGTCCATGAAAGACCTTTATAATCATCGTAGATAATAAAATGGGGAACGTCCATGAAAGACCTTTATAATCATCGTAGATAATAAAATGGGGAACGTCCATGAAAGACCTTTATAATCATCTTAGATAATAAAATGGGGAACGTCCATGAAAGACCTTTATAATCATCGTAGATAATAAAATGGGGAACGTCCATGAAAGACCTTTATAATCATCGTAGATAATAAAATGGGGAACGTCCATGAAAGACCTTTATAATCATCTTAGATAATAAAATGGGGAACGTCCATGAAAGACCTTTATTATCATCGTAGATAATAAAATGGGGAACGTCCATGAAAGACCTTTATAATCATCGTAGATAATAAAATGGGGAACGTCCATGAAAGACCTTTATAATCATCTTAGATAATAAAATGGGGAACGTCCATGAAAGACCTTTATAATCATCGTAGATAATAAAATGGGGAACGTCCATGAAAGACCTTTATAATCATCGTAGATAATAAAATGGGGAACGTTCATAAAAGACCTTTATAATCATCATAGATAATATTAAATGGGGAACGTTCATAAAAGACCTTTATAATCATCTTAGATTATAAAATGGGGAACGTCCATGAGAGACCTTTATAATCATCGTAGATAATAAAATGGGGAACGTCCATGAAAGACCTTTATAATCATCATAAAACATGTTTACGTCGTGTTTATTCCCTGATGTACATGGTGGCTGCTGTAATTCCAGAATTGTATTTCTTGAAAATACAATTAAAGAGAAGACATTGGGAAGCTTCCACACAGGCGGTTTGCTTCAGCAAATATTGTATTTCAATAAAATGTTGACCAGAAACTATGCTTAATAATTACCTTTGATTATAGCCTAGACTAACATTTACTTTATGAAATGAAATATTTAACGATGTGTTTGTTAAATTAGCTTTTGATATGTAATAGAAAGGAGCCCAGGTATTGCTTTCATTTTGCTGAAGAAATGTAGACTTGCCAAAGCATTGTAGACTTATTTGTTAGTTTATATATTCCTTTCAGCGTGATGAAAGACACACCTATGCATGACTCGATGGCCAAAATTATCTAAGTTATACTCACATCCATCGGTTGTCAGAGGATCCGGGTTACGACTGGTTTGGTTTGTTTTTTTAACGCCGCACTCAGCAATATTCCAGCTATATGACGGCGGTCTGTAAATAACCGAGTCTGGACCAGACAATCCAGTGATTGATATCATGAGCATCGATCCACGCATTTGGAATCGATGACATGCATCAACCAAGTCAGCGAGCCTGACCACCCGATCTCGTAAGTCGCCTCTTAATACAAGCATAGTCACCTTTTACGGCAAGCATGGGTTGCTGAAGACCTATTCTACCCCGGATCTTCACGGGTCGGTTACAACTGGTGGTCTTCAGCTGCCCATAGTTGTCGTGAGAGGTGACTAACGGGATCGGGTGGTCTGAATCACTGGCTTGGTTGATGCATGTCATCGTATCCTAATTGTGTGGATCGATGCTCATGATGTCAATATCACTGGATTGTCTGTTCCGGCCGTCATAGAGCTGGAACATTGCTGAATGCGGAGTTAAACAGGAAACAAAATCATCCATCGGAGTATACAGTGACTTTAAAGATGGAGGCTATGAGATCACATTGTCTGCAATAACACTAAACTCTGTTTTACCTAGGCAGACAAGATATACAAGGACGGTATACGGGACCCTACGCTCAACATATCCCTTACTTTGGCTGGAACTATTGTGTGCACTGTAAGTAGAAGCCTCTACCATGGAAGTCGGCTGAGATGACAGTGTGACGCAGTACAATATATACTACTCAAAAGAAGTAAAGGACCGCCGATTCATTCAGGTTACTATATTCAGTTAATCTGTCATTCCATGGCCGATAAATTATGGTAATGTGAAAGATTCGGGTGGTCCTTAACTTATTTTGTGTAGTATAGTACGGACAAAATGCTGATTATTTAATCCGGGATTAATGGGTCAGTATACTAAGGGATTGAAGGCTATCAGGTTCCAAAACGGACAACCTTATCCGCGAGCTGGTTTGTTGACGTAATTGAGACACTTACTGTTGGAGTTAGGAATTCTGAGCTTTTTTTCTGCTCTCGGGTCCTAACTGATAGTTAAGACACTGGTGTGTCACAGAAAGGGAATTCCACTGTGACGTATTTTCGTCACGTGTTTCTGTAGGTCTTCCAGCCTTTGGGTATCACTCGATGATTTCCTTTAATGAACAACCCGGCTTCAAGACTTACAGCCTTCGTGACTGTTGGTCAGGGACGAACGTCCCAGGGCCCGCTTCCACGAAGCGGACGATGATTGTAACCATACATTAAAGTGTAGGAATTACGATCACCTCAGCGTTGAGATCGCTTTGCGGAACCAGCTCTGGGAATTACGAGATATGCGATATGGTTGGCGATAAATGGCTTTACGGATTAACGGGTTGACGAACTAACAGGTCTCACGACTAACAGGTGAGATGTTCGGTATTTTTTCTTGACTAAGTAATTTCGATACCAACGTTCCGAAGAGTTCCATGTTTAACACCAACGGTATGCATTCAATACCTTACAAATATGGAAACAAACGTTTCAAAATATAATTGTTCATCTAAATCACGCGTGGAACATATATACATATCATGTATTAAATTTTGAAGTAGATGGATGTTTAAAGGGTATGAGGGTGCCCCAGTCGTCTCAGTGGGTTAGCACTGTAAATCGGCATCAGTCCAGACCAGTACAAGCAGCCACACACACACACGTGCATGGACGTCTCTATATAAGTTCAAAACTCCCATTTCACCTCACCTCACCCCACCTCACCTCACCTCACCTCACCTCACCTCACCTCACCTCACCTCACCCCTGGTTCATCGCCAGACCCCGGAATGTTCCCGCTTCACCGAGAGTCACCGCATCAACGACACCGTCAACAACCACATCGCTCTTGACGACTTTGCCGTCCAACTGAGTCAAGCCTACAAGGAGACCAGAATTCACTTTCGGTTTGACCAAGCCACAGCATTGACCAGGTATTTGTTGACGAGTGAGTGAGTGAATGAAAAAGTCGATTATCCGTAAGTACACTCGAAGTTGGTGCGCCTATTGGCTTTATCAGAGGAAACCCCTCAAGAAAATTAGACAGAGTTGTCTCCCACTTTCGAAACGAAACGAGGCAAATGATGAACACGTGACACTTTAGTTATGGGTAACATTCAGTTTATTCATTTCAGGGTCCCTTCATCAGGTGAACCGTGTTTTATAGTATATACACCATTGCATGTTGATATGCCGATACGATTAAAGGGACATTTTCGAACCAATATTTCTTTAATCCGGAATTTGTGAAATTAAAATTATTTTTATCAACGTTGTACTACTTTAGTTTAGCTTTAGCTTTTGATGTGAAATCAAAGTCTAGACCACCAGTTTCTGTTATTCAGGCCCGAAAACTGACAATATACATGTCCCCTTCCATTATAAAAACCAATGTAGTATGTTGTAGGCAGTAAAATTAACTTAGAGAGGATTTTGATATTTTGGACACCTCCTTTTTAAAAATGCTGGATTCACCCTTGACCTCGATATGGCTGTAATGCTACTGACAACTGTATTCACAAGCTCACTCACTACAAACTGAAATTTAAAACTTCTTTGTAAAAACTAAACACTTTATGTTTTACTTATCCCCATAATTCAATCATTTAATTCTTACTTTAGACTGGACATTGTCGACCCTAACGGAACACCTATAGGTGAGTGACTTTCTTCACACCAAATGAGTGAGTGAGTTGGGTTTAACGCCGCTTTTAACAGTATTTCAGTTATATCGCGGCGTGTCAGCTGAATGTGGGAGGAAAGTGATGCAGGTCTCAGACGTTTACCACTTCGGTGAAACCCACGAGCACGGGTATGGTGCTGACAAACCTAGAAACATAATCGGGGCGACAATCGACACAATCATAGGTTTCTGGCGTGCCCAAGGGACGCAACTCTGCACAGCGAATCGCGGCGCTTTAGACGACTGGGCCATCCGTGCCCCCGGGTTTAGTGTAACACCGATTTGAATAGTACAGTATAGTTATAGAGTGTCAGCTTAATGTGTCTGCAAAGGACGAAGTGATGCAGATGCTAGACGTGTAATACTTTTGTAAACCCACGAGCACGGCTTTGGCCAAATCTAACCTTAATCAGCGCCAATTCGATCCCATGATCAGAGATTTATGGCACGCCTAAGGCCAGTAAGGGACGCAACTCTGGACAGCCTTCGACGACTTGGTGGGCATGCCTCCTAATCGTCGATTTTCTCTTTCGTTACCGAGGTGTGTCCTTCACGGACAAGATATGCTCGCTGTACGATGGCAAATCCTCCTCGCTGGTAGAGGACCAAGGTGCATTCAGTTGTGTGGGAACAGTGGCTCACGAGCTGGCACACGTGTGAGTAAAAGTCTGTCAACACGTGTTCCCGAAAAGGTAGTGAGTGAGTGAGTGAGTGAGTGAGTGAGTGAGTGAGTGAGTGAGTGAGTGAGTGAGTGAGTGAGTGAGCGAGTGAGTGAGTGGGTTGGGTTCAACATTATTTCAGTTCTTTCCCGGCAGCACGTCAGGTTTCTATGAGGTAAATACCGAAATATACGTTTTCTGTGGCGGTAAGGTAGCCCGGTGGTTAAAGTGTTCGCCCGCCACGCCGAAGACCCGGGTTCGATTCCCCACAAAGGTACAATGTGTGAAGCCCATTTCTGCTTGCCCAAGCCATGATAAAGGCTAAAACCATCTTCACTCACTCACTCAACTGTGCACATGTAGATGTAGGATTTCCTATTTCATAATTTTCCATGAAATATGAACTATAACATCGTAAATACAAAATCATTTTGGTAGGGGAAGGGGGAGGGTGGAGGAAGGGGGATATGGTATCTAGGTTACCTAATGATTCTTGGATCGCCAGCGTCATATTCTAAATGGCGGGTTTCACCAAAGTGGAAAACAATGAGTGAGTAAGTATGGGTTTTCGCCATTTTTAGCTACATTCCAGCAATATCATGACTGAGGAGGGTCGGTCGGGTAGCCTAGTGGTTAAAGCGTTCGCTCGTCACGCCGAAGACGTTCGATCCCCGACATGGGTACAATGTTTGCAGCCCATTTCTGGTGTCCCCGCCATGATATTGCTGGAATATTGCTAAAAGCGGCGTAAAGGCATACTCACTCACTCTCTCATGACTGGAGAAACCAGAAACGGGCTACACACATTGTATCCACGTTGGTCCATTTGAACGACATCATTAATACTAATAATGTAACATATACGAACAGCATCGACCTATCATTCCACACTCTTAATTTCGTGGACAATGAATGTGCTGTCAAACATCCTTCAACCGGATTTGTTCATTAATAGACAAATGATACTGTGTATCATAAGGCTTTAATAAAGATTTATTTCAATAACTGTACATGAACTTTGGTTTCATATTACACATAAACCGAGATTGAATGCATTGTATATTTTTGATAAATAAATAATGACTCAGGTTTACTGCACTATTTTTCTCTCGCAGGCTTGGTAGTGATCATGATGGGGCGTACCGTGGCAAGTCATGTTCCGCCGCGGATGGATACATCATGTCTCCATTATCACCACTTGTTACGAACGGATTCTATTTCTCGCAGTGCTCGATTGATTCAATGAAGAAAAACCTGTTGTAAGTTGATGTATGTTTAACAGGGCTATTGATATTTCATTTGTTCATCATATCACAAAATCTATATTTCCATTTGGCCACTGATAAAAAAAATAAGATTAAGAAATTATCTAAGAAAGATACCAGTTTCGTTATTGAGGGAAATGGTAGTTTGAAATGACACATTCACCTACTAAGAGAAACGATAGTTTGTGTGTTTATTCATCACGTAACATAGACCCAGCCCACCAGAACCATAATCTTGAATCGGGAAATATAACATTAAAATAGAGATGGCCTAAATACAATTGTTTGATTACAGTTTCAGTTAACATTGAGAAGACTGAATTTGTGTCCTTTTGGGAATATGTAAAAGTGGCTGGAATACACAAACATCTCAAATAAATAAATAAAAGTTAGAACTAGAACTTAAGGAGACCAGCGAGACTGTTTCATATTTAGACCTAGTCAGAGTGACAAAACACTCTCCATTAGGCTGTATGACAAGAGGAATGACTTCAACTTTCCAATAATGAACTTCCGTTTATGTCGAGCAATATTCCTGCAGCTTCAGCCCTTGGTGTCTATATTTTACAACTTTTGACGTTCAATCCAGCATGCTCTTTCTACCAGATTCAAAGAGCGTCACACGACTCTTGCTCAGTAGTTGTTTGATCAATTTTACAACATCCAAGGACTCATTAAAGCTCTAAAACATTTATGGAAGACGATATGTGGAGCTCCTTTCCAAATTTGGCGCATCAGTGACAAAAATCGATTCCCTATTTTGACTTGCACCACATGTTCCCGTGTTTTTTAACGTGAACAATTAACTTGTCTTTGCATGTGTTTGTGCTCGGTGTCATCGATGTGACGGGATCCGCTCACCTTTTCGCGAACACCTGGTATCATTACTATTTGATAGTGATTCATAAAACACATGCTCGTGATATAGTCGGAATCGTACAATCGACTGTTTTTGGCGGAGATTTCATATGAATATGTAAAGGGTTTTTTCGCTTTTATTATTGTGTATTATGAACTAGTCTTGCGATGTCCACAATTTGCGGAGCATCTACGAGCCTTTAGTATGCTGAAAACTGGCAGAAGTCTAATGAGCAAACTATGGAACGGGTACCAACAAACCTAAAAGGTTGACGATCGACGCCGTCAGGGGCCAAAGGGTCAACGACAAGAGTACAGGATCGATTGTTCCGAAACCAGGCTCTACGAAATCGAGCTGAAACGGCGAATCAAATTGCTGCAAACTTTCTTCAGGCTACTGCAGTACAAGTTACGGGTCAGACGATTGGAAATCGTTTACATGCAGGTCATATCCATGCTCGACGGCCACGTGTTGTGCCGCCCCTTACAAATATTGCCAACAGATGTCAATGGTGCACACAACGTCGAAAAAGGTAATCGTCGCCGGTCATGTGTCATAATTTCAGATGAGTCCCGATTTACTTTTCATTTCCTTGATAGGCGAGGTCATGAACGTCAAGCCAATGTCCATCTGAGACCTCATGACAGATTTGGAACGATTATGGTGTGGAGTGGTATCACTATGGCTGCGCGAACCCCACGCCATATTGTGCAAGGAAGGATCACTGGACGACATACTGACACCTTGTGTTGTCCCCATTTTAAGGCGTGTGTGTCGACGTTTTGTCTTTGAGGACGACAATGCCCGTGTTCACCGTCCACGAATCGTCCTTGTTCTCCAGCAGCACAACAACCATAGAATGACATGGCCAGACCACCCCCACCTCCCCACTCCCCCATTGAACTCGTCTGCGACATGATAGGGAGACGTGTGCGTCAACGTCATTAGCCGCCGACCCCGTTGGCTGAACCCAGCCAGGCGCTGCAACAGGAGTGAGACAGACACCATCAAATCGCCATACCCAGTATGCCTCTCCGAGTGAATGGAAGTTTGACAAAATCGTAACGGTATCACGCACTACTGATTCTAGAAGACGTCAACTTTAAAGTTTACCATCTTACCCCTTCAAGCTTTAAGATCGTTGGCGGTCATAACATCTATAAATTAAGACTTAATACATCATGAACTTTGTACACACTGTGTTTCCCATTCCTAACCTAAGCAATGCATATTATCATGTAAAACCTAACTACGATCACTAGGCATACTTTAATTTTCAATGAAAATAAACTAGTCAAGAAGCCGCTCGAAACACGGCCAAACTCCATTAAGGCACTTCCGGGGACTGGACTAGAAACAAAACAAGCGCTGTTGGCCATTAGAGGCCCTCAATGCTTTGAAATGGACATTTGGAGTCATAACATGACCTTTTCGTGATAAACTCCAAAGATCATATTTGCTTCCTCCATTTGGACAAAGATTTTACATCCTTTATGTGGTGCCTTTTAGCAGTCATTATATTAGAAAATACATCTTGTATTCTGATATCTTCCTTTTGCCATCCCCGGTGTTGTTTAGTAATTGACTTATAACGTGATGCTTACAGATTAAAATGGTTGAGCAACTACATGTACATGTATGTATAATCCATCGAGTTGACGCGAGACACTACAGGATCCGACGTAATACTCAAGAGAATCAGTTAAATTATGACCTGATATATGTATGCTACTCACACTACTTTGTATTAAAATCGGATCAAGAGCTAAAGTGTCGAAAGAATGTAACCATTGTAATAGACATTGCTATGACTACGATTGCCATATTATTTTGCACTGTGAAATGTTTATGCCTGACAGAAATAATTTCTTCTCATGCTTGATTGATAAACTTGTTGTATATGTATACGTGAAAATAGATATGCTTGACGATGATGATATGCTTTCATTCTTTCACGGTGCAGATGTCCATGACTTGACTAACGAACTTGATTACGATACCTGGCAAAGCATCATAATGTCTTTCTGCCACTTCATATGGAATTTAAAGAAACATCTTATGTATATCTACTAGATACCTTACTGCTCTCAAAATGTACATTGTAAATTATTTATTCATAGCAGTGTGTAACATGATTTCATTGTATATAGTCAAGTAATTTCACTGATGTATAGTAAATAATGTATTTGCCCATGTAAAATCTTCGGATTCAACTCTGGAGGAAATAAAGAAATTCATTCATTCATTCATTCATCCCATCACTTCCTCCAACAACACAACCTCGCGTACCACTTCCTCCTTCAACACAACCTCGCGTACCACTTCCTCCAACAACACATCCCCTCCTACCACTTCCTCCAACAACACATCGCCTCCTACTACTTCCTCCAACAACACATCCCCTCCTACCACTTCCTCCAACAACACATCCCCTCCTACCACTTCCTCCTTCAACTCAACCTCGCGTACCACTTCCTCCAACCACACATCCCCTCCTACCACTTCCTCCAACAACACATCCCCTACTACCACTTCCTCCAACAACACATCGCCTCCTACCACTTCCTCAAACAACACATCACCGCCTACCACTTCCTCCAACAACACATCGCCTCCTACCACTTCCTCCAACAACATATCGCCTCCTACCACTTCCTCCAACAACACAACCTCGCGTACCACTTCCTCCTTCAACACAACCTCGCGTACCACTTCCTACAACAACACATCCCCTCCTACCACTTCCTCCAACAACACCTCGCCTCCTACCACTTCCTCCAACAACACATCGCCTCCTACCACTTCCTCCAACAACACAACCTCGCGTACCACTTCCTCCTTCAACACAACCTCGCGTACCACTTCCTCCAACAACACATCCCCTCCTACCACTTCCTCCAACAACACATCGCCTCCTACCACTTCCTCCAACAACACATCCCCTCCTTCCACTTCCTCAAACAACACATCGCCTCCTACCACTTCCTCCAACAACACATCGCCTCCTACCACTTCATCCAACAACACATCGCCTTCTACCACTTCCTTTAACAACACAGCCCCTCCTACCACTTCCAACAGCAAAACATCCCCTCCTACCACTTCCTACAACAACACATCGCCTCCTACCACTTCCTCCAACAACACCTCGCCTCCTACCACTTCCTCCAACAACACATCCCCTCCTACCACTTCCTCCAACAACACAACCTCGCGTACCACTTCCTCCAACAACACAACCTCGCGTACCACTTCCTCCAACAACACATCCCCTCCTACCACTTCCTCCAACAACACATCGCCTCCTACCACTTCCTCCAACAACACATCCCCTCCTACCACTTCCTCAAAACAACACATCGCCTCCTACCACTTCCTCCAACAACACATCGCCTCCTACCACTTCATCCAACAACACATCGCCTCATACTACTTCCTCCAACAACACATCACCTCCTACGACTTCCTCTAATACATCCTTTCTTACCATTTCCTCAAACAACACATCCCCTCCTACCACTTCCTCCAAGAATACAATCCCTCCTACCACTTCCTCCAAGAACTAAAACCCCTCCTACCACTTCCTCCAAGAACTTAAACCCCTCCTTCCACTCCACTTCCTCCAAATCACAATCCCTCCTACCACTTCCATTAAGAACACAACCTCTCCTACCACTTCCTCCAACAACACGTGTACATCGCCTCAAACCATTTCCTCCAACAGAACCTCTCATACTTCTTCCAACAACACTACCCCTGTTTCCACTTCCTCAAAACAACAACCAGTACAGAATATCCTAATGTCAAACGCCTCCAATTACGTCCTCTACTTCTTCTACTACGTAATACTACACAGCGCTTCTGATAGCAACCTCGAACGATCTGCAACAATTTCGAGCAATCTAACAAGCACATTGATTCTCACATTGTCCTGTGTTGTCTCTGTCGTGCACAGGATCTGTTCGGACACCTAACAAAGACCGTGTTCGTTTTACAGAAAGCAATCATCGTACTGCATTTACAACAAGGCGCCGGTGAATCACCTTTATGAATCTGTGTCGACCACGATGCCGGGCCAAGTGTACAACGCCTCACAACAGTGTGGTGCAATATATGGCACTGACTTCTGTCTGGTGAGATCACTTGCTAATATCTAGCGTCATCACTGCGCCTCTCACTATATACAACACCTCACAACAGTGTGGTGCAATATATGACACTGATTTCTGTCTGGTGAGATCACTTGCTAATATCTAGCGTCATCACTGCGCCTCTCCATATATACAACACCTCACAACAGTGTGGAGGAATATAGAGCACTAGTTTTGACATCACTAATATCTAGCGTCATCACTGCGCCTCTCCATATATACAACATCTCACAACAGTGTGGTGCAATATATGGCACTGACTTCTGTCTGGTGAGATCACTTGCTAATATCTAGCGCCATCACTGCGTCTCTCCATATATACAACACCTCACAACAGTGTGGAGGAATATAGAGCACTAGTTTTGACATCACTAATATCTAGCGTCATCACTGCGCCTCTCCATATATACAACACCTTACAACAGTGGGTGAAAATAGAGCACTAGTTTTGACATCACTAATATCTAGCGTCATCACTGCGCCTCTCACTATATACAACACCTCACAAAAGTTGGGGTATATAGAGCACTAGTTTTGACATCAATAATAACTAGCGTCATCACTGCGTCTCTCCATATATACAACACCTCACAACAGTGTGGAGGAATATAAAGCACTAGTTTTGACATCACTAATATCTAGCGTCATCACTGCGCCTCTCCATATATACAACACCTCACAACAGTGTGGAGGAATATAGAGCACTAGTTTTGACATCACTAATATCTAGCGTCATCACTGCGCCTCTCCATATATACAACACCTCACAACAGTGTGGTGCAATATATGGCACTGATTTCTGTCTGGTGAGATCACTTGCTAATATCTAGCGTCATCACTGCGCCTCTCCATACATACAACACCTCACAACAGTGGGTGAATATAGAGCACTAGTTTTGACATCATTAATATCTAGCGTCATCACTGCGCCTCTCCATACATACAACACCTCACAACAGTGTGTGTGTGTGGGGGGGGGGGGGGGGGCAATCGATCTCTGTCTGATGATATCGCTGGGGTCGTGAAATTCCCAGAAATCTTAGATCGCCCCTGACTATGTTTCAACACCAACACCACGTGGTCATGGGTTTCACCAGCGTGGTAAATGTCTAAGACCTGTACCACATGGAGGTTCCACTCACATTTAATTGACATGATACATTTTCTCACTCGGTCACTCGGTTACACGGCAAACGCTGTACAAAACATATGACGACCTAATGGTTTTATTTCCCCCCAGAGTACAGGCACAACACTGGCGGATATCTGCCACAAGATGTGGTGCTGGGACCCTCAACTCACCAACGTATGTTCTACCAAGTCAGCTGCAGCTCTCGGAACGTCCTGTGGCCCGAACAAGGTGAGATGAGGTGAAATTGGGTTTACCGTCGCGTCCAAGATTATTGCACTTATATAGCTACGCGCATGCACGTGTGTGTGTGTGTGGCTGCTTGTACTAGTCTGGACTGATGCCGATTTATAGTGCTAGCACACTGAGATACCATGCCAAAGTTTAACATGAATACACCACTCAGACACAGTATACTGACTCCGAGCCGACCAGTCCTTGTTTTAGCCCCTTAAAGGGGCACTGATCTAACGGACAGGTTGTTGCCTTTGTTATTGTTTTTCCCCCGTGAGTACCCGGATGATACGCAACGCAACTGAGCGTGACCAGAGACTGGGCTACCGTCTGCAAGGACAGCTAAATAAACTTGGAGGCTGGAGGCAATATTTGTTTTACGCATTTTTGAACACTGATTGGTTAACTGTGATCTATAAAGATTTCGACAAAGGGCGCATGTTAATTCATTTCTTCAGCCTAAACAAACAGACAAAAAGAACAAGGGAGCTCATCGGATGTCGTCATTTGGAAATACCCCAGATGGTTATAGTTTAATACTAAAAACAGTATCCATGCAGTGAAAGCATTTTCGGATTTCGGCTTGCGTCGATAATACGATTACTACTCCCTTGTCATCCACGTTTTCTCGTATAACCCTACACTTGTGTATTTGTCGTCATTCACTTGATGCTCAGTTAATGAATTTATTACAGGTACAATTAGTGGTAGCACCACTTATATTACCTGACAAAGGTTCCCATTTGGCATTTATTGTGTCTGGGGTAATTATTCAATCTAAATCCAGGTTTGAAGTGAGGTGAAATGTGTGTTATGTAATATGCACGTGGCAGCCCAGCAAGTGATGAATGATCAGTTGATTTACTTTTTTTTGTAAATCAACGGATCGTTCCTAGTCATCAAAGGATTAACAGAAAATACGTTGATTGATTAATCACTGTTATCTTGCACAGTGGATATGTCAAGAGTGAGTGTTTACATGTCTAGGTTTACTAAAACAAAGGGAATACACTCATATCATGGCGCGAAGTGCCGATGTAAAAACAACATACTTTGTTCAAAGGGTTAACTGATAATACGTTAATTGATTGATCATTGTTATCTATCACTCAATGGAATTTTTAGGAACCGTGGACGCTATGAAAATAGTTGTCACGTGGGCTTTCTCAGCCGACCATTGAGACTTGACACCTATGTAAAACACCTGAAACAATCCAAGCGATCAGTTGAGAAACGAACACGGGTTATAATATCCCGAAACGATATATATCTTTTAAAATATTTGATTGTTACTAAGACACGTGACATCGAATAAGTTTCTTTGTACAGCTGCAGACGAGTGGGATATTGTTCCTTTGTGTGGATATTCACGGATACATTCCTTGAACAAGGAAGCTGCCTAAAACTTATACACATAAATTTGGTAGGTTGTAATTATGATATCTGCATTTTGTTTTCCTTCATTTGAACCGATTCGTTCTTGTTTCTCTACGTCTTGGTTGGGAAATTCTTCAATGCGCGATAGACGTTGTTGTCACAGGTCTTTTCCTTTGTAAGCGTGTATATATTACCGTCAATTTGTAAAATGTGATTCGCTCAGGCAATTTATAAAATGTGTAAATATTTCAGTCATTTTGACTAAAAAATCGGTCCAGATTGATCAAGACGATCAAAAGGGCCTACAAACATCACAACAGATTATTATGTAGGATTAAAAGCCAAACAACTTAGAAATGTACTTTTCAACGTTACATTTTCAGTCTCTTGGTGATGACATTAAACATCAAAATGTTTGGAATTCGTTGTCATAATAATACAGATGGAAATGTTTTTCAGTCACTTTGTAAAATAACTGAATATTTAGACGTTTATTAAATTTGTTACACATTTGACAGTAAAAAAATATACACACTATAAAAAAAGCATATGCTCAGGTTAAATATATACTTTGTGTTGCAAGTCAAAATAGTGTGAACGTAAATCGCAAAATTACCAAGCAAGTGACTTATCAAAACTTCGTCACCATTACCGATGCTACTCACAAAGATACCTACATTTCCTTATAATCTCGAAAACTGTATTTCATTTTGTTCATCAATCTGACCATACGCCCTCTATATTACTACCCATAAAAGTGACTAATGCGCTTAAGGAATGGCGCAGCAGAGGTCGCGAACTAGTCTAGATTTCTGCTATACATCCGGGTATTCACTGGGAAAAAACAATAACAAAGGCAACAACCAGTCCCGGGGAATTGCGTTAGATCAGTGCCCCTTTAATGCCGAGCGCCAGACAGCGTAACAACAAGTACCATCTTTTAACGTCTTTTGGTATCGATCGAACCCCGAACCTTCCGCTCTCCTGGCGGACGCTCTACCTCTAGACCACGGAGGCGGTTCCCGGACAAGGTACAATAGGAAACAATGACGCGCAACTATCAATTAAGGAACATCTGTCCTGAGTGGTTAGTCAAAACAATCTCGAACCAATCAGTGAGAAACAAAACTGTGCATGTCCATGAAAATTACTAAACATAATTTCCCTCAGCTCCTGGTCGTACTTGTACTATTGTTGTGTCCAGTAAGATTCTTCCTGTATTATTGATTATTTGTGATTTTCTTGCATTCATTTCTTCATGTTAGGTTGGTCATTCTTTCATCCATTCTGTCTTGATTTATTAGTCATTCTTTTGTTAATTTGTTGCTGTGCACTTATACATGTATATGTCCCTGAGCTTTCGTTAGGAGGTGAGGTGAGGTGAAATGGGGTTTAACGTCGCGTCCAAGATTATTGCACTTATATAGCGACGTGCATGTACGTGTGTGTGTTTGTGTGGCTGCTTGTATTAGTCCAGACTGATGCCGATTTATAGTGCTAGCACACTGAGATACCATGCCGCAGTTTAACATGAATACCCCACTCAGACACAGTATACTGACTCCGAGACGACCAGTCCTTGTTTTAGCACCTTAATGTCGATCGCCATACAAGGTAACAACAAGTACCATCTTTTAACGTCTTTTGGTATGACGCGGCCGGGGATCGAACCCCGGACCTTCCGCTCTCCGGGCGGACGCTCTACCACTAGACCACGGAGGCGGTCTTTCGTTAGGATGAGATGGTAATAAGACTGTTAACCTTAGAATATCCGTTGTCAGTTAAACATTTCAATGTTGAGTACCAGTCAACGGAAATATGACAGACACGGGTGATTAAATTAACCAATGTCTGAAAATGTAATTATGATTTAAATTTTGTGGGTCTTCTCTTGTTTCCACTTCATGTCCATCGTTTCCATACCGCGACAGAAACTGTTGGTTCATGAACTTACGATTTTACGATTTATTGCTGCTCCCAAGGAAAATTCTTCAGAACCAGAGTGTGTATCGGAGGCCAAACATTGGTACTGGATAGGGGACTAGTTAAATTGGCACCCTTAACGGCATAATCTAAGAGGGGTTATTCTGTTTAGATCGGACTCAAAACGGCATAACATTACCAAGAGTATTTATAACTCCCTACTTTCAATGTGAAATTTTTTTTTCAAACATTGATATTAACTAAATCTAAACATATTGTTTCATACAAGAAAAATGTGATATTTTGTGTTAACACTTCCCGTTAAAGTCCAATCTATCCAATGTTATATTCTCAAATTAGTCTGGCGGAATATACCAGGTTGTTGGCACTTTTAAAAGTCAGAGTGTGCGAGGATGTAGTCTACCAGTCGGTCAGCAATGTAACAGAACACAACTAATATTAGTACGAGTCTCCTGCTCCTGGAATAACACTCAACTCAACGTACGACAGGATAACAGTATCTCATTAATTTCCACACACAACCAACTCTACCATTCCGCGAGGTAATATTTACAATTATAATAATTATAATAATATAATAATAGAATTGAGTGAGTGAGTATGGTTTTACGCCGCTTTTAGCAATATTCCAGCAATATCACGGCGGGGGACATCAGAAATGGGCTTCACACATTGTACCCATGTCGGGAATCGAACCCGGGTCTTCGGCGTGACGAGCGAACGCTTTTACCACTAGGCTTCCCGAGCGCCCCTAATTATAGAAAAAAATATTCTTCGTGAAATGAAAGCATTGTGTGTCCTGTTCTTAATTTACCGATCGTGTTTTATTATCATTTTAGTTTCATAGATGCAGTTACCGACCATCTATCTCGTGGGTGGTCAGGTAGCCTAGTGGTTAAAGCGTTCGCTCGTCATGCCGAAGACCCGGGCTCGATTCCCGACATGGGTACAATGTGTAAAGCCCATTTCTGGTGTCCCCCGCCGTGATATTGCTGGAATATTGCTAAAAGCGGCGTAAAACCCTACTCACTCACCCACTCTATCTCGTCGGATCTGGGAGGTACATCAGTCTTGCCTCTTTTAAAACTGACTTTGTGACACCTCACAACAAACGCAGTGCTTAATATGTATGTATGAGAAGTGAACTAAGTGAAAAAGATCTTAGTTTGCATTGTGTGGACTTGCATCAGGAGCTAAAGGTCATATCGACAACAAATAAAGACTTTTTGGTCCTCGTGCAGAGATACAACGTACCTAGTTGGAGTTGTTTAAGAATAATGCCCCTTCTTAATGAGAAAATGCTCTCAACTAGTTGTACACTGATGTACATTTTTTTGTAAATTACACGGTCCATAAATATATTAGGTACATTTCAGAGTTCAATGGGTATGCACGCTGTGAATGGCTTCTTTGGTAATGAGACCGCCTTCGTGGTCTAGTGGTAGAGCGTCCGCCCGGAGAGCGGAAGGTCCGGGGTTCCCCGGCGGCGTCATACCAAAAGATGGTACTTGTTGTTACCCTGTCTGGCGTTCGGCATTAAGGGGCTAAAACAAGGACTGATCGGCTCGGAGTCAGTATACTGTGTCTGAGTGGGGTATTCATGTTAAACTGCGGCATAGTATCTCAGTGTGCTAGCACTAAAAATCGGCATCAGTCCGGACTAGTACAAGCAGCCA